GGGTGTTCCCACGCGAGAAACTGATGAAGTGTTGCACCAAAAACAACCACTTACGCGGGAACTTCGTGATAGGCGTGTGGGACATCAGGACGTACCCGGCTCATCTCGTCCATCCCCGCCTATACCAACTCCTCCACAGCCTTCTGATGCTACGAGGGACATCCTTCAACGTTTGAAGCCATGGATTTCGCATGACCCGATGGCAGGATGGCATGCAAGTACAAATGAATCATCCCTCTGTGACCAATTTCAGTATCAGAAAGCAAGCTTGCATGGCCGTCATGGCATATGCACACCTCGAGCTCACTTTCCCTCCACCGCCATTCACGCACTCCCGCTCCACCTGATGGCGATGAAGATAGTTGATGTCTTCCCCGAGGTATTTAAGTTTGGGGGTCTTATTTTAACTTAGTCGTGTCGAACATTTTTTTCACTGCTTTTGTTGTGTTGCATTCATGTTGCAAGTATGCTCTGTGTGTTAATTTGCTTTGTGTAAAAAAATAATAATAAAATAAAAATAAAAATTTGCATTATTTTATTTGGTGTGCTTGTGTGAGTTGAATAACATTATTAGCAATGATGAATATATTTAGAATGTGGATCGGTTGTGGATTATGGATGAGTCAGTTGCCCGAACTAAAATGTTACTTACCCTTGTAGATTATTGTGACATTTATGCACGTGAATTGAGTATAGTGGCGAACAAGAGTGAGTTGATTCATAATTAGATTTAGGTTGAAGTAATAACCCTAGAAACTGAATCCAAACAACCACTTGTATAACAGTATTCACACCCTTTAACCTACCTTAGGATAGTTTGGATAGGGAAACTGTTGTAGGAAAGCATGGACGTGGGTGTGGATTCCGTGTGTGCCAAATTCTGTGTGGACTGTCTGAGATCAATGGGATGAAAATTGAATAAACACTTTTAGTTAAGGGCCAATTTTTGAGAATAGTTATTTAATAAGGGGTATTGCACTAATCATAGAAAAAGTTCACAATGAGGACAACTTTAATAAGCTCATTGTGAAGTTTCTCTTCGTAGCCTTTATGACTCGAGTGGTTAAGCCTACAAGGATTTAAAACCTGATGCCCTAAAGTCGTCTGACTTGGGAGTCATCGACCTAAAGCTCGCTATAGGGGTCATCTAGAAAGTTTAAGGGAGGGACGACCGCACAAAGAGTGGTCAAAAAATAAATAAATAAAAAATCTTTTTTAAGCTTGATCAAGCCTCGAACACTTGTTTTAGAGTAGGCATTTGACCAGAGGTCGGTAACTTGGTTGATTCTTGGAGGTTGAAGCAGTCAAAAATAGGAAAATCCACACTTATTGATATGTTGAACTGTAATTAGTAAATTCCAACCAAACTTTAGAGGTGTAAGAACTTAGTATTGAAAATCAACTTTAGGATACACCTTGGGAAGAGGAGAAAATAAGTTTGGGGGTGTGTGAATCCCACGAGCGGAGAAATGAGATAATTGACTCTTGAGGGCGGGAGTTGAATCAACATACGAATGTTTGGCATTATATTCGATTGTTCACACACACACGCACATGATCTGTAATGGGTAGGTAAGGAGCTACCTTTTGCAAAATAGCTTTGAAGTAGTTCATAAACTCGACCTCACATTTCAATGTTGAGCAGTAAAAACATGTCCAACTAAATTATGCATTTGAATTCTTTGGTAGCATTTGTGTTTTGTAATTATTGATTATTGGTTGTGTATGCTCGAGGACAAGCAAAGAACTAAGTTTGGAGGTGTTTGATGAGTGTGATTCACTCATTAAACTAACGCCTCTAAATCACGGGTTTTTACTTGTTCTTGAATACTTTTGAACGTTTTGATGTTTGTGTTCGTGTTGTTTTGCGGCTCAATCAACAGTCGAGAAAACGCCACAATTGGGAGCTTGTGATTAATCTAAAATGGGGGCATGAATTGGAGATAAGAAAAAAGGATTGTAATGGAAAAGAGGCTTAGAAGATGAGCGATTCAAGCGAGGAGCAGTTTGTTAGACGCCATGGCGCCTAAAGTGACGCCCAACAAAAAGAGTACTTCTAGCAGTGAGCTGGGCGGCGCGGCGCCAGCTCTTGGGCACCACGGCGCCCAGCGTAAAGAGAAAGAGGCAGAATAGCTGGTGCCGTGGCGCTAGTACACATACATGTCACGGCGCCGCATCTCGCAATGCAGAAGAGTCCAAATTTTTGGATATTTCTCGGCCCAAAATGTTCCCTAACCATCCAAAACTCGGAGATAATATAAATACCAAGATGAAAACCTAACTGGGGGCCGTTTTTCTGGGATTTTCTGTGGGCAAAAAAAAGGAGTACAAAAGCGAAGATCCATTCAAGAGGCAAAGAGGAGAAATTGAATTGCATTAAGATTGACAACCAATTGGGGAAGAACAAGCGGCTTAAATCAGTTTTTCTGAACCCTTATTTATTTTTACCCTAGTTCTTTATCTTGTATTTTGGCATGTTGATCGATTCAAGCATGAATTAAATTCGTAGATCTAGGGTTGATGTAATCTATTTGAGACATGATTGGATTCTAATATAGTTATTTCTTTCAGTTTTTCAGAATTTATTTGTGTTGTTTTGTGTTTAATGCTTTCAATTGCCTGATCATCAATTGAATGAACCGATGCTTTAAATTTGACGCTCAAGAGAGGGAAATTTAGACATGATCTGAAATAACATAACCTAGATTTGTAGGTTTTGAGAGAGAGAGTGCAAATCTATGAGGGGTAAAACAAGAACCAAGAGTTTTAATAATCTTTATATGTTTAATTCGGAATAGAGATATTGGGGTTAAAATATAAAGATATGTTCTATTGGCGCTAGAGAGAGGGAATAGAATTAAATTAGGGTTCTTGCCTATAAATTGGGAAAAATTCGATGGAAATGGCTATAGAGGTTGAGAACATGTTGATAAAAAGGTGAAATCAATCCCTAGATAACCATAATTTGATTTGATTTTTCGAAATTGCTTCACTTTACTTGCGTTCTTTATTCCATTTAAATTAGATTAGCATAAAAACATCATTTAAAAATTGGATTTGTCTAAATAAAGTGAAAACCGAAACAATTATAATACTTAGTGGAATTTGAATATCAATCCTCGTGAGTTTGACACTTTTAAATTCTTTACTATATTACAAAGCTTTACACCGTACACTTGCGATTAAATCACGTTATATAATCGCGTGGCAATTATAAAGAAATAAACTTGAATGTATCATCTGCTATTTTTGTTCTGAAGGATGGCTCATGTAATGGCTTGCAACACTACGCTGCCCTTGGGAGGGACAAGGTAATGTACGACAAGGATTTAACAATGTTGCTGTGTGTCTATGTAGGTTTTCATTTACAGTGTAGGAAATATATTCAAGTAATTATGAATAGGAACAAGCCTATATTCATAGAATATATGTAAAGATTGATCCCAGGCCTGATATTCCAAGGTGGTTCCTACATATCTAAATAGTGTAAAGCTGAGAGGACTAAGCAATCGGAATTATGGGCTCCCAACTAATTCAATTTTTGCCTGGTTCTAATATTTCATCTCAACTTGATTAGATTTTTGGTATTTTTAATGAGTTATTCTGAATGTAGATGCATTTTGGTGTTCCCACTACAGTACTGTTTGCAATCAATGTCACTAATAATAATATATGTCCAGTTGAGGGAAGCTCTAGCTATCAGATCATATTCCAAAAGTTTTGACTCTCCAAGCAAGCCATCTATTTTATTAGTTCAGACACTGATAGATACATTTTAAGGGGAAAAAATACAAACTTTTTCACGCAAATGTAACACATTATTATATATCTCCAGTTGGAAGCAGCTGCAGTCAATCTTGTCAAGGGAGATAAACCTGCAGAAGTTTACTCAGGAATCACTTCAAGGTAAGTTGTGATCATGATTTATAATATCCTTTTTCTTTGTTTTGCTCTCACCCCAAATAAATTAAATAGCAAATAAAATTGAAAATTGACGTTGGTGTTGGCGTCGACGATAAATTGAATAAATATTTGGATTTGCATGTACTTGATTTTATCTAGTTACAATCCTGTAAATACCTTGTAGAACTGGAAGGTTAAATGAGTAGTTTACTTCAATATGAAGAGAAAAATTTCTAAAATCTGCCTTTGGATCTCAGACAACAGTCGTTATGGATTTCATTAATTCTCAAGCAGTACAAGTGCTTTAAAATCAATCTTACGCATTCATGTCCTGCTGTCCAAATTTAGTTGTATTCATTGCTGACTGTTTCTGATGCAGAGTTCTTTACATCATGAAGAGGGATTCTGCAAAAGACCCTGCATCTCATCCCAATGTTATGCGTGCAAGACTGTTAATTAACCAGGTTGTATTGTGCCTCTATTTGATGGCCATTATTTGGGAAAAACAATATCTTGAATGGTGAATTTTGGAGATTGTCCGGTTAAAAATTTTGAGTTTACATACAAAATATTTTATTGCGTGAATGTGTGGTTGAAAATCAGTATGGAAAAAAAGAGTTTTGAAAAAAAGCACATCAAACAGGGGCTGTATTTCATGTATTTATTCTGTTTACTGATATCATGACAAGCAATATTACGAAAATGGCTTGTTTCTCTTGCTATTTGTGCTTTATTATGAAAAATAAAAGTTATTTAATTGTTTACCTTTTATGTTTTGAACTATGAATGCATTGAGTGGCTTGGTTCTATACTTATTGGTGCCGACTTCTTTTGTAACAATCTAATTTCTTAGTTCTTTATTTTCGGTGGACAGGAAATTAGTCAAGCAAACAGTGATGACATTAGTATATGGCGTCACTTACATAGGTGCACGAGATCGAATCAAGAAGAGGTTAAAGGACCGTGGTGCTATTGAGGATGACGCAGAGTTGTTTTCTGCAGCATGCTATGCAGCAAAGGTACGAGAATATAGCTTTATTTATTTTTGTGCAGTTTCCTTTTAATTAAAAGAAAATTGATGTATTGTAGCATTTCACATGACAGGTGTTTCATATGATGTTGAGAATTATGAGGTATCAGTTCTATTCTGCACATGTATGCAACATGCAACTTAGGAAGGTTTGAGCTAATTGTTTTTTAAATCCTTGAGCAGACAACCTTGACTGCCTTAGGAGAGATGTTTGAAGCTGCACGGAGCATCATGAGTTGGCTTGGAGATTGTGCAAAGGTATCTTCCATTCTAATGAATGGAATTTTTCATGTAAAAAATATATTTTAAGCATGATTGGCACTTGATGCAAAGTCTTCTGTTTCCCGATGTATTTTCTCTAGAGGCACATGATCTTTCAGCTGATTTTATCGCCTCAATATTTCATAGTCAGTTGTTTTGGATGCTAGGGTATGGTTATCTACTTCTTGCCGGGTATGGTTATCTACTTCTTGCCGGACATCATATAATTATGGGTACAGCTGCCAAATCCACTGACATCATTTCTCCTGAACCTCTCTAAGCCCAGATACTAGTATATAAATAGGCAAGCTAAGACTGCCTAGAATGTGAATAGTTCTGTTTCAAGATCAAAATCTAAATTGCATTATGCGACAAGCTAAATTTTTGTCGCATAATGTGGGTAGGTTTCTTCAGATCACCTTGTTTGACATTTGTACTTCAATTTTACACGCAGCGACGAATCTAGGATTTTGAGTCATCACGGGCTGTCGTTGATTGTCGACTGTCAGCCGCAATAAAGTATTAAGAGCTCGTTTAATGTATTTTTTTTAAACAAAAAATACATTTTGAAATAATGATTCATGGAGAACGTGATGTCAAAAATAAGAAAAAAGTTTTGAATTTGCGTGTAATATTATTTTATTGAAAAATTTATGGTTAAAAATAAGATAGATAAAAATGTATTTTGAAAAAAAATGAAAATGAAACAAGGCTTAAAATTTAAATATAACAATTATTTTGTTCATATTGAACATATATAATTGTGTTATAAGAACAAATCATATATTCACCAAATGACATTGTTGCCAAGTATCGTATAATTTAAAGGAAGAGCATGATTTTGAATCTTTATAATTTTATTAAACCTAATAAATGTCATATATATTATTTTGTTGAATTAAGTGCCGAAAACAATAGGTGTCATAGTGGTCAGGCTTTCAATGGTTATAGTAGAGGTTCAAGGTTCAAATCTCATCCAACTCCTTCCTATTGCATTAATTTTGGTAGTTGTTGTAAACTAAAAAAATTGCACAATGAATTGGGTGTGAAGAGAATCGAAACCGGGACCTTCAAAATATGAAAACAAGCTCCAACCACTTCAGCTAAAAGGAGAATTTGGAAGAAAAAAGAATTATCAGTAATATAACCTAAAATCTTAATCTACTTTCAGCCAAAAAAAAATGGCTTCCGGCGGATCCAGCTAGGGCGGCCTCCCTAGCTCGCCACTAGCTGGATCCGCTACTGTTTACACGTGATAGGTGCTAAAGTTGTCCAGAAAAATTATGAAATGAAAAAAATAGTTTAAGGTAACATAGTTATTATGCAATTATGAGAGTTGTTGGAACCAATTTACCTAAGTTTTCAATCTTGATTGTGCTATTTGGCTAAACTGGGAGATCGTAGGTGGTGCAAAGAATTTGAACAATAAGAAATGCATGATTTTATTTATTTATTTATTTATGGAGGGATGGAAAAGAAGATGGACAGGAGGAATGAGATAAACTACTAATGAGCATGGAGAAGAAACTTTCATGTTGGAATGCCGAATTAACCTAATCATTCGAAAACTTTCATGTTTACAGACATACCTGAACCTGTTGGAGAACAGTAGATATTGCAATGTATAAATGAATTGGCCATGAAACATGATACTGGATCAGTTGACAATAGAACCTACTATTGTATTCTATCTAATATTTGTTTCATTTCTCTTCTTCACTGCATTCCTCATATAACTACCCTCCTGTTCTTTATTTTCTTATTTTTGTTTCATAGTTTTTCTTTATGTTTCCTTTTTTCTCTTCCTTTTTCCACATTTTAGATTATAGCTACTGAGAATGAAGCAGTACATTGGACCACACCACTTGGGCTCTCTGTTCTACAACCTTACCAGAAATTAGGAAGGCATTTGGTAACTTTCACATACCTTTAACCTGTGAACTTCCTCTTTGTTTTCATCATCATCGGCAAGAATAAACTAAACATAATTTATTTATTTTTATTATTTTTGTTGCTTTTGTTATTATATTATTATATTATTGTTGTTGTTGTAGTAGTAGTAGCAACAGCTGTAGGATATATTCATTGTCTATCAATGTCTCATTCAAGATTGGTTATTAATTTTGGTGCAGATTAAGACTTCTCTTCAGATTTTGACACTCCAACGTGAAACTGACAAGGTAACTTCCAGTTTGTTCCCGTTTCTGATCTCAAGAATGATGTATTGAAGTGTAGCTATGTCATGATTCACATTATTGCCCTCCCTCCTATTAACCCCTGCTTCCCTGTGCCCCCTTCCACGCGCACAAAAGTCACAACCAGAAAAGAAAATAAAGAAAGAAATGAAGAAAAAAAAAGTTAAAACCGAAGTAGAAAAAATTCAAAATGTAACAGCTGATATTACTATAATTATGTGCTATCTTTTACCTGATTTTCTCAGGTTATGGTTAAGCGGCAGAGAACAGCTTTTCCTCCAAAATTTGTTCATTCTCTCAATGGTTCTCATATGATGATGACTGCCATTGCTTGTAAAGAGGCAGGGTTAAGTTTTGCAGGTCTATATCTCCTGCCATCAGGAGGAGGAGGAGGATGATGATTATTATTATTATTTTATTTTATTTTTTAGCACCCTCTAGTTTAGGATTGTCTAATAATTTTTACCGCAATTTGATTCTAGGAGTGCATGATTCATACTGGACTCATGCATGTGATGTAGACCAAGTGAACAAGATTCTAAGAGAAAAGTTTGTTGAACTCTATGATGCACCGATTTTGGAGAATGTGAGTTTTTCTAATCACAGTGCTCAATTCAACTCCTGTCCTTGTATGCGTAGGTCAATGCTTTATTTGTCTATACCCTCCTTTTACACATTTATGTTATTGTTTATTGGACTCGAAAGAATACTGTGTGATGGAAATGGATGGAGTATAATGTGGAAGACCCTTAAATATCATTTTCCAGTCAACCAGGAAATGAGAAACCCAGCAATCCTTGTGTAATATGCTAGTATGTGGATCATATTAAACAACTTGGGTAAACTTGATGAGGCTCAACTTAATTGAAGTGTAGTCCTTATTTGTCATGGTAGGTTTCCTAGATCCTTTCTCTCATTCTGCGATATTAAGAGCCATCTCCAAAAGTAAATCACACGACTCAAATGCTTTTGATTCTGTCATTTCATACGATTTTTTTGTCAATTTCCTGCTATGTTAACCATTAATATTATTCCACTTTTCAGACTATGCATCCAGTGACCTTTCTTGAACACATTCAAATTGTCGGAGTTTAATCATCCATTTTATCTTCACTATATGATACCTTAACCAGCTCATTAGTGTGCTCTTCATATTCATATAGGTCCACTGCATATATTTGGTTTCTCAATAGTCCAGCCTGTGGTTCCATATAAGATGGTTGTGTTTTTCAGGTGCTATATGGAATTCCTTTGTCAATCACCCAACATCAGGGGCACTCTGACTTAACCCAACAAGAAATAATCATTTGAGTAATTTCATCATATGACTAAGTGAGCCGGAGACCCCGTTTGGTATACATTAATGTAAAAATGAGAATGAAAAATATAGCCGTTATGGACCCCACACAAAAGATAGAAAGTCAAAATGATGGCTTGATGTGATGGATAACGGTCATATTTTTCATTTTAGTGGGCAAATAATGGGAATCAAACGGGGGCTAAATATTGGAAACAAACTTTTAAATGTTTTACGAGTTCTACCTTGTCTATTAGTGTCATCTACCAACAAAATATCATCTGAAAAATCATGGATACTGGAGCTGTTTATCCTTGATTTCCTCAATAGGAAATTTTATTGATGGTAACGATTTTATATTTCACCTGTCTTTCTCATTCGAGTGAAAGGGGAAAAAAATGGGTGAAGGATTTTAGTATTGCTTTATTAACTCCTGATCAGTTTCTTTGTGTATTGTCGTACTTGCTGATAATTTTAGCTGGTGAGACTTTTAGTTATTTTTGCTTTAATACCTTGTGATATTATTCCATCTCCCTAAGCTTTTATGTTTTATGATTTAATAGGATTTATTACCTTACTTCAAAATTGCTACCCTTAAATGAAATTACTTATTTAGAAGAAGTATTCTACGTTAAAAGGTGGAAATGTCCTTTGTACCATTTTTTTTTTTTAATGAATCCCTAATGTTTGAACTTTGAAGTGTTCCGTTGTGAGGTTTTGTTTGAAACTTATTGGGTGATAAGTTAACGTAACCATTGCATCTGTTTTACAGTTGCTGGAAAGTTTTCAGCAGTCCTTCCCAAAGTTAAACTTTCCTCCATTGCTAGAACGTGGAGACTTCGACTTGAGAGAAGTTCTGGAGTCTCCCTATTTTTTCAACTAAATGAACAGATACAGCTCACTTTTCAAGGAATCCTTACTTCTAAATGGCCTGGTAATGGTAGCTCCTTATTTCTTTGATATTTTTTAATACCTTTAGCCGATCACCAACAGAAAAAAGCTAGCCCTTCTGTTATTGGCTGCCCTTCAATCATCACGAGTTTTCTTTCAAACATGTCAGAAAAATCCATACAAGAAGGTGTTGGGGACAATTGAGATTCTTCCGCAACGTCTTGACAGTTATGACCAATTGTTGTGGAGCCCGGATTTTGAGATGAGATGATGGTGCTCCGGTTACTTTAATGGCTGAACGAGCATATCATGCTAATGACACGCTACGAACATTTTGTCGGTGGTAAAATAGAGGGAATTAAGGTTATTCAGTGTATACAATGGGGAGGGTTGAATCAAACGACTAACAAAGATTCATGTACATGCTTCTTTTCTACACTTGTCCAGGTGCATAACTGATCCCAAAGGGTTGAGTTATAAAGAACTGGAAACTCACTGGAGAGGGCCAAATTGATGTTAACTTGACACTTGTATTGTCGTGGTTAGCTCGACTCACCTTTGTATAATACAAAAGGCAATGCATGTAGTTCTAGAGACATTTTGTGGATGCTATTTCCTCTCTTTTTTCTCAAAACTTTGTATTAATAAAAGGATTATTCTATTTGTACCTAAAAAACATACAGAAGGGTATACAGCCAGCTGAGGTGACGATTTTTACTGACAAAATTATTGACCCAATAACTCGTGAGAAATTGGAAACTTTAATTTGAAATCAAACCTACACCTACCAAAACCCATCCCAAAAGACTGCCTCTCTCTTCTCTCTCGCGACACACCCATCCCATATTGGAGATCTCTCCGGCGACTCCAGGTTCGGCGACCCCAGGTGCGGCGACTCGAGGTCCGACGACTCCAGATCCGATAATGTCCCTTCATTTTTACAGATCTTCAAATTTGGGTGTGTTTTGGTATTGTGACTGTTTTATTCTTCTGAATTATGAAGGAAACTGACTTCTTCTCGATGAGGACTAGTAATGTCTCTTTATTTATGCTATTACATTATAAATAATTTCAATGTGAAGTAAAAATAAATTAACTGCCTGCAAAATAAATTTGGAGTAAAATCAATTAAGTCTCGGAATGTTTACAGGCTTCCATATTGTAGAATGACTTCGTTTCTATTGGGGCTTGTCCTCTTCAGGGGTTAAGGATTTGGACGGGGTTGGGTAATCCAGCTTTGTAAATGCCTCCTAGTGGGAACTCTAGCGTTTATCGGAGTTGATTTTCAACAACCAGTTTTCTATATCAAATGATTATCATCAACTGTGAGAAAAATAATAATAGACGGTAATGTCCCTTCATTTGAAGCAAAATGTCGTCAAATTTGCTTAATAAACAGGTATTGTGACGATGGTAGCAAGTATAATTTAAGTAGTAAAAGATTTATTTATAGCAAGTATGAGTAACTCTTATTTGCAAATGGAATAACAGAGATCACTCGTCAGACCTTAGAAGAAAACAGAAAACTTGATATATATTCTCTGATGAACACACATCTAAGGATTACATTACATTTCATGCATTTGCTAGTAGTAGTAGATGGAAATTGCATTACCAGTGGTGGATCCACGATTTGAACTCATTGGGCATCTAATTTAATTACGGATTTATATTTTTTATGATGTTATTTTTTTTTATTTTTTTTTTGCCAATTCGAACATTATTATGATGTGATTTTTTTTTTTCTTATATTAGAATTCTTCAATGGCCGGAAGAAATAAGGGGATATGTCATTCATGTAGACGGGCAGGATACATGTTGCCAGATTGCCCCGGAAAGAGAAGATGTCCAAACTGTGGCCAAGGCTATGTTAAATGGATGGAGGTGGAAAAGCAAAGCGATAACAAAGGGCGTTTGTTCCATTGTTGTACCCGTGATATCTGTCGATTTTTCGATTGGAATAAATCTCCTCCTGCCGCAGTATATCCCTTGCAAGGTGAAGGTCAATCGAGCGGCGCCTCCAATGGTAGTGAAATCGTTGATGATTTGTCACGTATGTTGGAAACGTGTGCTAACATAGCCAAGAAAAAAGACATTGAGATCTCTCTCAACATCATAACAATTCGTAAGGGAAAACGGGATTCGGAAGATGTTCTATGAACTTGGATTTAATGGGATGGTTTAGGAATATTTAATCTTCGGTGTGATGCGTTAACTATTGATTTTGTAAAAATTTGAAGACAACTTGGATCCATGAATTTCAGTCGGTTTTAAATTTCCTTTTATGAGCATTATGTTTAGGACATGTTTTACTAATGTGCTGTTGAGTTTAAATGTTAATGTGAATGGAGTGTGTTTGGTG